GACACATCGTCCTTCCCATTTGTCAAACTGTCTGCCCTCGTCCGCCCCAGGCTTTTCCCACGAGGCCTCGGCAGCGAGACAGATGGACCTGACGGATGGACGAATAGACAGGGAAGCCCTTTTCTGCCGTGAACTCAGACTCACACGAGCCAGAGTTGATCAGTTTGTAATTTTTATTCTTACGATAACGCACTGATGAGTTTGTTTACAGCAGTAAGTGGACTTTTCCTGCAACCGAGTCCATCCTTCATGTCCGCATCCATCAGCTCGCGTGTCTTACATCTGACCCAGTGTCTCTCGGCCCACCTTCCTCTGTCTGTCGCTGCTTTGCACTTCTACTGTGCTGTAGTGTGTCAGGAAGTTTCACCACCCCGGCTGTAATGAGTAAGTCGAAGAGTTGCTCATCAGGAAGCTCGATCTGCACTTCCCTAATTGGTTCACTTTCTCTCTCGCGCTTTGTTCGACTCGTCACATCTGCTGATGACAATCATTTCCCTCTTTTATGGCTTCTTCTTTTTTTTTCTTAGAAGTGTTACTAGGGCCTTCAGCTTAGCGGGATAAGCTGGATGTGAAAATTGGCCAAACTTACAGAACAATAACGCGTTAATTTTGCAATTTCAACTCAGTACTCAAAGGAAGGGGAATTGTGAGACTTTACTGTCGATTGGTGCAACACCACCCTTCAGCCCAAACCGTTCAGACTGCGGCGCTGATGGGATGATGTACGAGTTAGTGGCGTTTCCGCTGGGGACTAGGATTTCTCTCGCCCTCTATCTCAATCTGTCTTTCATTCTGAGCCACAAGCTTAAAGCAGTCAAGTGCGGGGATTTATAGACCCGAGGCTTACGGCTTAGTCATGATTGCCTGAATTGGCCCTGGCTCTGGTAAAATAAATGGTTTTTCACTCCTAATGAGAGAACGGGACATGGAGGGGAAGGAGGAAATTGAAATGATGAAGAAAAATGATCAAGAATCCAAAGCTTGGAGCAGGAGAGAAACATGTATATGACAGGAAAAAGCCTTAAAATTGTGTTTGCAAGTGGCCTTTTAAATCGAGTTACGTTTAAAGAGAACCAGGAAAGGTCAAAGATCAGACTTCGAAGTTTTGGAATTGCTAATAGCACTAAAATGTAAAAGTGAAGTAGCTTCTTCTCTTTTTCTATTTGACTCTTATTTTCTCTGAAAACTGTAGTTGCTCTTTTTTTTTTTTTTTAAGCTTTTTTTCCTTTTACTGTGTTCAGCTGTAAAACATTTGAGGAAACTTTATGCTTCCCCTTTCAGCTCTGAGTGTAACTGGAGGTTCTCGGATGGCTATAAAAAAAAAGAAGGAAAGGAAAAATGGTTGAGGGCAGGATGAGGTCCTCGTCTCTGAGGTCTCTGCGTCTTCATAGAGCGGGCTGCAGGCCAGGCACACTCTATGCAACTCTTTAACTCGCCCTCCTTTTTTTCTCTTTCTCTCTGGCAGAACAGTGAAGCTCCGTAAAAATGAATTATGCATTTGAAAGATATGAAATGGGTAGATTTATACAATGTACGCTGGGGGATATCACATCTGCTACTTTACACAGAGAATCTGTTTGGTGGTGCTGCGCACTGACACTGATAGGTTATCTGTCACGGACGGAGGTGAGCAAAAACTGCTATTTCATGCGCTCACACTTTTTTGATTTCTTCTTGATTCGTATCATATCTCACAGCGAGCGGAATAGTTTGATATTTTGGAAACTGTTTGCTTTAACAGTTCATTGAAAAGATACCACGCTCATGTTCCTGTGCTGCCTTTGCAGCTGGAGCCAGCAGCCAGTTAGCTTAGCGCAGAATAAAGACTGTCTAAGAGACTTACATAATGCAGGTACTGAGGACTTTAAATCGCCAATGTCACCAATTTAGTGTCCTATCAACAACCTGTTTCGTGATGTCACAGTGGCCTTTTACTGACAGACTGTATATAAAAGATGGTGGTAGCCAATACCGCATCACCCACTGACTCTGAAGCCTCAGTTTTAGCATTTGGACATCATAGTGGAGCCAGACAGCCTAGCATGGTCAGAAGTGTGCATTCACATAAAAAATACAGATATCTGCTAATCAGCAGGCAGAAATAACATATCACTGATATATAAAAGGTCTTGGGTGGTCTTTCAGTAAAATTAAGTGCACAGCAATATGTATTATTTGTCAGGTAATTACCATAAAAAATACTTCAAAAATCACCACTGCAGAGGCAGATGCTGTCAGTCAAGTCTTAAATTTTATTAAGATTTGACTAGCAATGTCAAGTCTTAAAATTAAGGTGAGCTATAAAGGTAGCGCTGAGATTTGGTGGTTAGCACTGTTGCCCTACAGTGAGACAGTCCTGGGACTGAATAAACCAGCTGTCTGGAGCCTCTCTATGTGGAGTTTGCATAGTTTTCCTGAACCGTCCTGAGCCAGAAGTACCGGGAGAACTACATCTACACTCTAAAGATATGCTATAGTAGCTGTAGGTAGTAATATGGTAGCAGTTTAAGTAGAGACACTCAGATCTCCCTCTTCCGGGGGCTCTCCGAGGCATTCCCAAGCCACATCATCTATCCAGCATGACCCCAGGGCCTCCACCCACTGGGATATGCCTGGAAGACCCTCTAATGTGGAGGAGTAGCAGCACTATACCAAGCTCTGCCTCCTGGACTCAAGTGTTAAACTTTGATTATATTTTCCACACCGTGAATCCACTACTGTCGCTTGGGTTAGAGTGATGCAAGGTTCATCATTAAACGTGGAGTGCAATGGTTTGAGTGGAAGTGGATGTCCATGTCTGTGTCAACAATAGAGCATAATCAACGTTTTAGCCCTGCAACAGACTGGCGGCCTATCCAGGGTGTATCCCGCCTCTCACTTCATGACTTTTGGTTGCCAGACTTCAGGAGTCTGGCAACCCTGAACTGGATGGAGGACATGGATGGATGAATCCATTCACTTTCTTTCCAAACTGCTTAGACTACCATGACCTGGATGACTGAGAACCTATACAGACATGTTTATGTCTCCTGCAACGTCTGACACCTTAACGTGGAACTCACATTTGAAGCCTGCCTCAAGTGGCCATTTGAGGAAATGCACTTGTTTGCAATAGAGATTGACAGACCACGTGACTTTCGCGCATTGCACGCCGGGTACTCGTGGCAAAACAATCCAAGCAATGCATCAAACGCAAGCATTTGCAGCACCGCAAAACGTTCATTCTCCGGTTCCAATACCTTCTTGCTTTTTCTTTGCCCCCCCAAAAGATTTATGTACAAAACGAAGTAGAACAATGCCGGTCCGTACAAAGACAGACTTGATGAAAAGTCAAAGAAAAGATACGAGGAAAAAATCAAAGGAGTGAAAGGGTTAGACCCTTACGAGCACGTCTTCATTTCAAAACAACTTAAATATCCCACAAAAACTAATGTTAAGTTGATATTTTAATCAATAAAAAACAACTAACTGTAAAAACTCAAATATAAAAAGATGAACATATTTCCCAATATATTAAATTACCCATCTGTCATTACCCATATATTTTAATACCTTAACAAACAATTGCCAGATGGATTATTTATTGACCTTTTTGATTAATTAAAAAAAAGAAATTAAATATTAATTTGGATATATGAGTTTTAATATATATCATATTTGCAACATTCAGATTTTGTGTGTGTGTGTGTGTGTGTGTGTGTGTGTGTGGGGTTGGGGTTGGGGGGGTCATACTGACAATTCAAAAAGCCTCAAAAATTGACAAAAAAGTGTATTGAAAAATATACACTTGACATTACAAGGTTAAGAAAAAGCTTTAAGCTTAAACTATTTTCCTTAAAAATATTGTGTGCATTTACACATAACAGCAAATCTCCCAAATATCCCTTTGGTGTTTGTCTATTTTTTTTTCTTTTTGATCTTCTTCATTCGCCCAAGAACCACTTTTTCCACACAAAACAGCCAGAGGCAGATCACTCACACAACATCTAACAAACGAAAGCATTGACTTGCCATCGGTGTGGTCTCAGAAGCCTTCTTTTCCTCTTTGAAGTTGGAAAAATTCCCACCAGAAGTCACTTGTTAGCTGAACAAAAATCCCAAACAGGTTTAAATGAAGGCTGTATGGGCACAAACACACATGGGGATGGGGACCTACATGAAGGTTTATGGCTCTTAGACCCCCTCCCAGATAAACAAGAATGGCTTGACCTGTTTGTTGTGGGGATGGTATAACACACAAACTGTTGGAAATGCACTTGAGGGAGGGGTGGAGTAGGGGCAGAAGCAGACAAGAAAAAAAGGGGGGGCTAATAAAGCTTATGCCACATTTGCAAGCATGATCATTCTAAATAATAGCCTCCCTTGTACTTTGGGCTGAGGTTTGGTGTGGAGGGTGGTCATGGGACTGCCCAGTGTGATAGCAATGCACTAATCTTCTCTGCATGGTCCATTCGCATGTGTTCACACCATTGTTTCCACATTCTAAACAGGGACTGTAATGTTACCCAAGGGAATTGTATATTTGGGGCGTAGAAACCCTCCATTAATTTCTACTCTCATTTAAAGTCAGGGTACCCTTGCAGGTTTGCTGTCTGCAGTCAGCTGGGGAGCATATATGGATGACAATTTGGCTTGTAATTGCACACAGCTGTAAACGCAGGGACTCCACATGGAGACAGGATGCCTACAACAAAATGCGCGTGAGCCTGGGAAAACAAAAATCAAGGCTTTCCTCACCACTATCGTTTTTCCCCCTCTCAAACCAATCGGTGCTGTAATTTATTACCCGGTGAACACGTGGGAATAGTATTTCAGCGCCACAAGATAAACAAGTACTCGATTTCACGCATATCTCGCGATAGGGGACGCTCCCTCTGTGCTCGCCTATTGTGAGAGTTTTCCAATTCTCGCGTGAATTCGGAAGTTTCCCACGCCTGTTGTTGTGGCGTCTGCCCTTTTCGCTCACTCTCTCTCTTTCAGTGAGTGTGTGTGTGCGCGTGTGTGTGAGAGAGAGAGTGTGTATGTGTTGCTGTTACCCGCCGCCTCCCCTTTTTTTCTCTCCGTCTTACTCACCCACCCCCTTTTCTCTCCGACTCCCTCGTCCCTACACCTCCAGTCCTGCTCCTGTTGTCTCGGCGGATTGTTGGGCTGTGGGAGAGAAGGGGATATCGCGAGTATTGGAGTTTTGGTGAGAGTTTGTGGAAGATGGCGCCTGTTGTGACAGGGTGAGTCTGAGATTCGGGGCGGTGGGGAGCGGAGTTGATAAGAATATAACTTATTGCCATGAAATAGCTCACTTTTAACCCACGCGTTGTATCATCGAGCACACTGCACGTCCTCTGGCCGATGGTTTAGTAGCCAGAAGCCGTTTCTTTGTGTCAGTGTCTTTGCGTGCGAGTGTTTTTCCCCCTCTTTGACCAGTTACTTGCTTGAGCTGACTGTTGCTGCAGTGTTTTGTGAGCTAGCCCCTCTGCTAAGCGATACTTCACCCCCGGTGGTCCTTTTCTCCCAGACAACGGCGAACTGTTAGCTGCCAGGCTAAACAGCTAGACATGTTTGCGGGAGTAATTTGACGTCGATATCGCCGTTTCGTTTGAACCCTACCGACTGGGCTCACGCTGAGAGCTCTCGTTTTAATTCCTCGCCCTGTATTTGTTTTCGAAACGTGCTCAACATCCAGCTAGCCGGGGCAGCACGCTTACGAATCGGGACTCACGACTTAATGCGGCTAGCTGTCCGATAGTGGACGCTAGCTAGCGGTGTCTGACTGAAACACGTTGCGGTTTTGTGGCCAAACTGTCCGTTTAGCATCGTTTTTAAAACACTGTTGGCGCCGTGGTTTTCGCTTAATACGGCGTGTTAGCCGTCAATATTGAAGCTACCCCCCACACATGCATATACACACACAGTGTATAGCATGTACTTTTATGACTTCAGCTCTCTCCAAGAAGTGTAGCACTGTTGTATTTACTACATAAACTGCGACGTGGCTCTTATGAAAACCTAGTTCTCAAATGTGGAGTGCATCTAAGGACAAAATGCACAGCTCACGGCCATGTGTTTTTTAACCCCATCATCGCTGAAGAAAAATGTCCATTTTTCTCCAGTTAACCCGAGTGATCCGTCTCGTTTGTCTTATTTATCATATCTGTGTGACAGCTGCGACTTTTTGCTAATCTACACCGACATCTCTAAATATTAGACGCCCATCTTCGTAAAGTCATAAAGCATTGTGTGTAACAGTCAAATCTAATGTTTTGTATTTCCACCTTGAAATTTGTGACTGGGTATAGTTGGCGAGGATTGAATAATTGCAGCATCTCCATACTTTTAATAGGAAATGTGACTTGCTTAACATTTTCAAACATCCATTGAGCTGAATGTCGCTGCTTGTTTTGTCATCACTCATCAGTACTGTGTGACCGTGTTAATTCAATGTAAATGGGCTGTAGACCAGGTGGTGCTGTGTATAACTGAGCCGATTGGCTTTTCTACTCTGGTCAGGCTTTAGAATAAATCCTGATTAAAATTATTTGGCTTCACATTAGCTAGACACAACCTTTTTTTGTGGGTCTGGTTGGCTGCTGCACTGTGCAGGCAGTAATCCCCACAGACTAGGCACAGTGGGTGACAGACATGGTGCAGGGCTTGCTGGAGGTGTGTGTGTGGTGGGGGTGGTGGTGGGGGGGGGTGCTGCTGCTGTGTATGTTCATTTGGGGTTTTCCAGCAGAAGTGAACTGATTTTAGTTGGGGCGGGGGCAGAGGGAGGGAGCACGCAAGAGGGCAGGCGGGTCAGGTCTGGGTGGCTGGCCACCTGTCCAGATGATAGCTCCAGATTCGTGTGTGTGTTTTTCTGCTAGTGGGAGGGGAGGGAGTCAGTGTGTGTGAGAAGGATGGGGTGGGTGCGTGAGAGGTTCAACAGAAAATTAAAGTGCCATAAGGCCTTTTTTTTTCCTTTTCCAGCTAGTGGCAGACCTTGTTCATTGTAACGGTCAGAGGGGCACCAATGAGCCTAAACACACCCTGTTGCCCTAGTATATGGTTTGTGTGGTTCTGGTTTTAAACTGGGAGGGGCTCTGTAACCACACAGTTGTTAATAGTATCACAGCTCCTCTGCTGTGTTGTACAAAGGCTGCAGACAAAGATTTGTTTGACTTTGCTATCGTAGTCTCTAAAGGTGGATGCTGAGTTGTTAGGGGGCGGGCCAAATGTATGTGCCAGAAAACAAGCATCTGTGTCGGGCTTTCAGTGCATGTCTCTATAGCTCTGGTTATTATCAGATACATTAGAAAACACATGATAAATTATTCACAATTTATCTATCAGATCTCAGGCAGGCTTGAAAAATGTCCGAGAACAGTTTGTAATTTCCTCTTAGACAAAGATGAGGAGCTGCGGTCAGCTTGAATTCGTGTTATTTACAGCCTATTCGATTCCTGATAATAAAGAGGTCCATTGGTGAAGTTCCCTGCAACATGTCCTTTTCCTTAGTTCCCCTTGATCTGCTTTCTAAGCTAAACATGCAGCATTAAAACATGAATAGTTTGTGGAGCACCTTGATCGGGTTTTCTTTATATGTTAATTCACGTTAACTGCACATTAACTAGGTTATACATTGATTTGCTAAGCTAATGGTTGTTTTCATTGTTGACTAATTTGTTGATTAAATCAATCAATACATCAGTTCATCATTTTGTCTGTGAACATGGTTTTTCCTGTGCATGTAAAAAAAAAAACAAAAACAAATTGGCACCCTTCAAGGTTTTTTTTTTTTTTTTTTTTTTTTGGCCTTCCACCAAAGAAAAATCGTGGGCTTTTTTTGTTTGTTTGTTTGTGAGGTTTAATTTGCTGAAGGTTTTTATTTATGGTCAGAATTGCCACAAAAATGCGCAGACTTCTACACTCACAGAAAACACAGACCATCAGCCTTGACTGTATATGCTGACTTGTGTCATGAGTGCCCCCAAAGCCCATTTTGAGCTAACAAAAAAATGTATGATGTAAATTTCTAACTAAATATGTAAAATGAGGCCAAACGAAAATGCATACATGCGGATTCTGTTTCGTTTTTGGTTTGTTTTTTTTGTGGGGGGGACACAATTAACAGTGCACACAATCTTCTCCCCTGATTTAACACACTCATATGTTGCAACCACAACACAAATTAGCTACCCCCCCAAAAAAAACAACAACTCTCGAGCCTTCCTTTTTTATGTATTATTATGTATTAGAAGACAAAAAGAAACACAACCATGGCCATATATGGCGTTGCTTTCGTAATTCCCCCCCGCCAGAGAAACTGATTGTGATGGCTGAAAGAGCAGCACTGTTCACCTGGGATGATAAAAGCATGAATCACTTATTTCAACACTGCTCTGCCTTTGCTGTGTGCCCCAGGGGGACGAGATTCCATTTAGCTCACCCCCCCACACTCCTCGTCTGTCCCCCTGCCAAAAAAAAAAAAGAGAGAGAGGAGTCTTTCAGGCCAAAAGCCAAGCGTCTCTGTGCTGGTGTAATGATAGTACTGAGCCTGTCTTTGAGGCGCAAACTTGTGTTCTTGTATTTGTTTGGATGAGCGTGTGCTTTGAGCTCCGGGTCTGTGTTCATCCAGTTTAATGTGCACGTTTGAAGGGTGTACCTAGACATTAAAGTTGATCTGTGTGTGTGCATGTGCATCCACTCCCCAGAGTCCTCTCCTCTTCCCTGCTTCCTTTCATAAAAGGACAGATTCAGAGAGAGCAGCAGATGTCGAAGCGCTGACCTTTATGGTGGCAAAGGCTCAGGCTAGAGTTAAAAGACATGCCGAATCACCCCCCTCCCTCCCTGCTCCACACTTCTACCCCACACTCATGCACACACCCCTCAAGGCAGCAGCAGCAGCCCCATGTCCACCTGCGTGTGCACACACACACTCAAAGGCAGAGCGCTCCTAGATAGGTTAACACTGGAGAGAGCTACCTGATCTGTAAGCCACCTCAGGATCCTACAGCCTCCGCAGCTGCCTCCTATCCACCCAGAGCTGTGAAAATCTTCAAAGTGTGTGGCATTTGGGGGTTACGAGCCAGGGGAGGGGGGCGTGAAGCTGCACAGAAGTCACAAGCAAAAGCACCAAAGCAAATGTGCCACAGCCAGACATCTTTAGGGGAGGATTTATTTCTTGTGCACAGTAGCCTATTGTTTTGGAAGTTCATACATATCCATTACTTCACATGATTGAAATATTCCCCGAAGCCTATAGTTTCTTTGAGAGTTCAGATTTGGCTTGTTTGTTTCGAAGGACCGCGGGTTGCTTAAAAGCCCCACACGCCCTGCTTGACTCAGTGTCTTCATTCTCTTGTTTCCCTATTCAGGCTGTTTGTGTGCGTCTGTCTCGGGGGAGCAACCACAGGAGACACCCAGGGGGATAGAAATGCACATTTTTTCGTAATTTGGCCTGGATCGCTGCCAAGTCAGCCGTCTTCGTTCTTGGTCCTCAGCCACGAGCATAAGTGTGCGCAAACTAGAAATACCAGCATAACACCCCCTCCACTTCTGCTTATTCTAAGTGGCTGTATGTGTTTTAATGACCTTTTTTAACATGGGTGCATGGCTGGAAGGGAAAAAAAAGCCTGATAACAGAGTTGGATGCTTCATGCAAAACCACAGCACGAGGGGGATTTATTTACTTGTAGAAGGCGTACATTAGTCTGAGCTTTTTTTTCTTTCTTTCTTTTTTTTTTAAAATCTCTGGCATTTCCCAAAAATCTCACTGCTGTTTGGTTCAGCAAGGATGAAACAGATCGTTCTGATGTAAGTTTTGAAAACATCCCTGCCCTCATATTTGATAGAGGCCCAGCTCTTATTGGTAGTGTTGTTGTTCTTGGCCTCTGCTTCATGTCTTAGCTAAAGCTGGCAAGAGAACCAAAAAGCTAAGACAAGGCGAACACGACAAGCGGCGGTACATACTCCTCTGCCGATTCTGGTTTTGGAGCGCTTCTTTCTCACTTCCAGGAGAGTTTCCTCAGACCCGAAGTTTGCCTTTCCCTGCCCCTTGTTCCTTTGCTGTTTGTTGTGATTACAGCCATGCCAAGGGAATGGTGGTTTCTACTGTGTCAGCACTTTTTGCCCCCGCCGTCCGTCCACATTCAGGATGTTTCATTCAGAAAACACGAGCTGATTCCCCCTGTCTGACTCCTGTTTGCGTTCTCTCTGGTTCAGTGAGCAAACCATTGCCCACTTCCTAAGC